TTTTTTTTCATTTTCATTTTTTTTAAATATTCTTTTTTGTAAATTTACTCCCTTCAATTAATCATAAGGACATCTATAAAAGAAATTTAGTTAGTTAATTTTTAACCATAAAAACAACACACACACACACACACACACACACACAGGTAACCGAGTGGACAGGATATAACAGGGTTGACTAAAGCAAAGGGAACGTGCATTTTGATTTGCTTTCATGTGTCGGGCTTAGAAAAGAAGGAAGTTCTCATTAAGCAGATGAAACATTTTTCATGACAGTTTTTTCAACCCCATGAAATAAAAATAACCATAATAACAGCCGTTAAAAACAGTTTGAGAAACGTAATAATGCTAAAGCTTTTAAGAACATACTGATTTCATGAAGTGACACTTCTGCAGCTGTACCACCTGACCTCGACATCTAAACACACTTTTTACATGGACACCTTTACTGACGTTTGTCCTGGTACCACCAGCATATATAACACTTCTTAAATGTAATAAAAATATTATAATGCATTAATATTTCCTAGTCTTCACATTTGTTCTATCTCCTGACATGAAATGAACACCAAACGTACAAAGCTATCAGTTTGTACAGTAACAGTCACAGTGAGACATTCTGATGTATGAAAAACAAAAAAGACCATCTCTACTGTGGACCTTACTGTAAGTCATGTGACCAGAGGACCAGGGAGGCGACCTGTTCAGGGGGATTTCTATAAGGGGGCAATTCAGGACACAAGTTATTCTGAGACAGCATTAAAAATGTACAAACACACAGAGTAACATCTGGTGTTGAATAAAAAAAAGAAAAATGTCTATTTCTTGTTTTAGGATTGTTATAACTTTATTAATCAGTGAGCTTGAACATAGATGATTGTGCTGTGGCGTTATTGTGAACAAAAACCATTTGTGACACATTAAAGTGCTTTCTATGGTAAACGGGGCTTTTAATATTGTGAGACAAGCTTTCAGTTTTTATACAAAGTACTTTTATTCCTGCCGTGAATCACACGCGCACTGACGCACTTCTTAAACAAGCAGATATCAGGATGATGAGCTCAGCTGTCACGGTGAGACCCGCCCTGCATGAAGCCCGCATGTAGGGACCACAGTAACTACACAGAGGGGCCTAATGCAGTCAGCTCGTGTTACACACTGTGTGTGTGTCAGTCTGCGTGTGTGCGTTCTTACCGAGGACCTGCAGCACGAGCCACAGCAGCATCTTCCTCTCCGCTGTCCCGTTAACTCTGAGAAACAGGCGCACACAGCTCGATCACAGCACCGCTGACGCACTGAACAAAGTTTCCTCCTCTGAAGTTACACAGAGACACCTCACAACTTCCTGTCAGAGCCTTCAAAATAAAATCCTTCTGCAGAACTCCAAACATGAAAGTGAGGAGAAGCAGCAGGGCGCACAGAGACTGCAGACAGCGAGCTGCTTTCAGGAACACGTGGTTGATCCACGTGGGTTTATATTAATGTAACCTGACCTAATTACAGTTTTAGTTTTGCAAAACTGACAGTAAGTTTAGAAGCTGTATAGATGGTGGCGCGCACGTGTGTGTAAAATAATAAAAATGAATAAATAATGAAATAAAAAGAAAAAGTATTAATATAATAATATGATCAACTGTCCTCACTGCTATTTCATAGTTTGAGTTTGGACCCCCAAAAAGGTCATGCCTAAAATTCTGACTTTAACTAAATTAATTACAGGTAAATTTTCCATGTATTTTGTTACATAAGTACACTGTAAAATGTTACATTTATCATAATCTGGTCAAATTAAATGTAGTTGGTTGGTATACATGCAGGTTGTACCGAACACGGTTTACTTAATGGTTAATTAAGTGAATAAACAAGCCTGTGATTGCTGTATTTCTGCACAGTGTTCATAGTTCGTGTCATTGTGAGTTTGGTATTTGATTTACAGTGGGGCAAAAAAGTATTTAGTCAGCCACCGATTGTGCAAGTTCCCCCACCTAAAATGATGACAGAGGTCAGTAATTTGCACCAGAGGTACACTT